GGGGGTGACAGGAGCGAGAGATGGAGGGAGGGGCATGCAGAATTTTAAGACATAATCTGGGGCACAGTGGTTTTATAGGTGAAATATRTGCATGGGGGATAGTAGGAGGCACCTCATCACTGTGTGTTGATTCAGATGATGTCAAATGCTTTAGCTACAGCCCTTTGATGATGGTGATACTGAAGTGGTTCTACTTTTTTCAGGACTTTGAGAGAATAAAGCGAAAGTATGCTGGGTTGAAGGACCGTTTGAGTCGGAGTCCCATGGTGGGTGAGCAGGGCAGTCGGATCCTGACTGTCAAGACAGAGGCAGAGGAACTGTTTGAGGAGACCATGGAGATGATGGACAGGATGCAAGGTGAGGGGCATGGACTGCTGGGAATCCCTGAAGGCTGGCCCCCTCCCAGGGCTGCTGAGGTCCACTCTGGTTGGAGCAGCAGTGCTAAGGGAGTGAAGTCAATCAGGGTTAGCATGTGTGACAGGGCTGTGGGGAATCAGGAGTGCTCACATTGACTTGGCCTGCCCCGAAGAAGCTTGCACTCCAGATGAGRCCAACGGTACCCCAAACTGTGTTTAATAGCCTGAGGTGGTCTGTGAAAGGGACATGACTAATGAGTTCTAGGAGACCAATTTCTTCTGAGAGAAATGCTTAGTGGAGGTGAGAAGGAGGTGAGAAGGAACAAGGCATGTCTTGAGGATGGGACAGGAATCGGCCAACAGGAGAGGAGGTTGACCAGGACCTGTGGGAGACACATAGCATGGCTCCACGTGGCTGGCCTCCAACMCAGATGAAGAGGGTAGACTTGGCCCTGCATATGGCAGGGAACAATCCAGGRGTTCTGAATATGGCAGAGACATCATGATAATAGCTTTTAAAAGGGTTCTGAGCTTTCCTCAGAAAGAGGAATAAGGAATCTAGAAGCCACTCATTCTCTAAGTTGTGATGGTGGGTGGCATCACTGGGCTGGTGTGTTCAGTGAATGCTTCACAGTTTCTCTGAATTTTGGCAAAAACCTCAGTGGGTAGCCAAGTGGACACCATAGAGAAGGTTRGATTGGTGGGTTCATAATGAAGAAATGGGAGGCTGTGGCCACCCACCCACAAAGGGCCAGGAGCTGAACTCAAGGAAGGAACCAGAGCCTGGGTCAGTGCTTTTCCTGGCCTTGCCCATCAATGCTCTGTAGGAAGATAATTTATTTGTCAATCTGTGTATGACAGAGAGTTAATACACCAGGCAATTGCAAAAGATGAAAAAGATGGGATTAAACCAACAGGATGAAATTAAGTCAGGATAAACCTTCCCTCTGGCCTTTGTGGGCCTAGACCACAAGTACAGCTCAGGAGAGACCTGGCTTCTCAGTGGATCATGTCACAAATTGTTACTCACCTGAGAAAGACCCAAGAGTTCTGAGTAACTGCAAGCTTGTTTTGAAACAGCAATGTCTTGCTACTCCTGAGAGCTAATAAACACAAAGCAGCCAAAGTAAGGGGGATCAGTAAAAGCTTAGGGGTAATATTCAAACGACTTAGCAACGGGTGCGGCACATACCCACCATCTAGAATAGTCTCAGGTCATAGCATTGGAATGGAAATTTACCCGCTGGAAGGAATTTACTTTAATTGGAAGATAATGGCGAGGATTATGCATGAAGGAGGCCTCTGGAAATGGGGCCCTGAAATGGAACAGCAATAATATAACCACTTGTGTGGATGTATTTCAAGATCTGACCAACCTGTAGGCCCATGTGGATGTTCACTGGCTGGCACTCTCTTATGCTCATCTTCATAAAGGATCAACAAAACTGCACACATCAGGAAGAGAGTGACTGGGGTGGGAGAGAGGGAGGGACCCAGCAATTGTATCAGATGAGGAATGGAGACCTTTAACCTGGAGAAAATGAAGCCTTCCATGTGGGACTTCCATGTGGGAGCAGAGCAGATATATTCCTACATACCCAGGAGACAGACCTGGGACAATGGGGTGGAAGCAAGAAGTGGTTAGATTTTAGTTGTCTTGTTTAGCAAATAATCAGAGCTGCCTAAAGTTGGAGCCTTGTACGGTAGTTGTGCTCCTTCCCTCATCTTGGTGAAATATAGGCTAGGGGAATGTAGAGTAGCACAGGGGACTCCTGCCTAGGGSACACAGGCCAGTCTGGGTCATTTTTCAGTGTTCTTCAAGTCCTTCACATATAATCAGACAGGACCAGGATGGGGGTGGGGTAGGAAGAACTAGATTAATCTGGGGTAACATTTTGAGGGGGGAGAGTGGGCAAGTGTCAAGATGCCTACTTAAGTGTTACTGGTAGGATGGCCCCTGTCCAGGTCCAACAGCATTGGGCTGCTAATCTTGGTATCAGTATCCCTGCCCCCATCAGCCTGGTACAACTGAGAGAGCCTAGAGAAGACAAGAGGGGTGAGGGGTTAGGGGATAATCAGAATTGGGGGTCTCCAGGACYGGAAAGAGGGGAGAGGCTTCAGTGACCACCACCTGGAGGCCAGCCTCTGCCGAGTTGGTTCTCCTGCCCATGCTGCCTCCAGGCAGGGGGAGGAAGGAGAAGGGATGGAAGTCTTTGGGTATCTCACCATCTACTCCTCCTCCCCACACTGTTCCATCTGCCTCAGACATGGAATCGGAGCTGCTGCAGGGGAGCCAGGCCATCATGCTGCGCTCAGCAGACCTGACAGGACTGGAGAAGCGCGTGGAGCAGATCCGAGACCACATCAATGGGCGTGTGCTCTATTATGCCACYTGCAAATGATCTCCAGCTCCCTTTGCTTCTGGGGAGGGGGCAGATCGGGTGGAATGTTTTCTGACTCCAGGAGACTTGGATGCCACCYAGGAAGAGCCTGTGCTGATGGGACAGCTACATTTGTGGATAGAGATGGTATAGGTGGGTCTGTCATCATGCCTGGAAACTCCCAAGTGGGGAGAGCCAAGCTGGGCAAGGTCTCTGTCCTTGTCCTCTGTTGTGACTGAATCCTGGACCAACACAAAAATGTAATGAAAAAARATGTGCAAATGAAAAGTCCAATAAAAATCTTTGGAAACAAACTAGAAGCTCAGGGAGGGAAATGGTCTGTCTTCCCATTCAATAAACTTTTGTCATTTATTTCTGACTCTCATTGGAGTTCCTATGAGCTCAAGACCGTTGAGCTGCCCTACTTGCTCAGTCTAGCTTGCTCATTACCTGTACCTAGGGAGACTGGGCCCTTCTGCTTCAGGACCAGATAGACCTCAACCTTGGAAGGCCAGAGGAACAGTTCCCACCTTTGAACARCAATCCAGCTTCTAGTTATAGATGTGGAAATAGAAACTCAGAACGGGAAGTAATATGGCCAGATTCACACAGCTCCCAAGAGGTAGGACTTATACTAGGATCTATGTCTCTAGGGATCTCAAAGAGATCTCAAAGAGKATGTGCCCTCTGTGTGTGTGTGTCTCTGTGTGTGTCTGTGTGTGCATGCTTGTGCAACATGCACACATGTGCACATGTGCAAATATGGAATGGCAGRAATATTTGTGTGCTAACCACAGCCTAGGTACAGTGCTAGGCATCTTATCTACATTAACTTCTTAATCATTATTAATCATTTTATTTATTTATTGAACACTGTGTTGGACACATTTGCATTATCTCATGATGTAGGTGGCACTGTTATTCCCATCAGACAAATGAGAAAACCAAGGCACAAAGGCAAGGAACTCACCCAAGTTCACAGAAATGGCAGAGGAAGGCAGAGCTGGGCCTCAAACTCATGTTCTTCTAATACAGCCATTAAGAGAATGGACACTGGAGCAAGGCTCTGCACAATCTGTTCCTGTTGTTGTGAATGGGGTAGCTCATGTTTGTTACTAGTTGCCTGGCAAACTGCCGGCTCCTGATACACACCGGCCCTGATTGCTCCTTCCAACCTGACCTGCAGCTGTCCAGGTACCTTCCACTCCAGACWGGCTGAGGCCCCTGAGCTGCTTCTGCCTTTGAAAGGATAAAATGAAGCTTTGTAGAGAAAAATATGTCCATTTTATTGAGCACAACAAGGAGCATGAAGCTGGAGGGAGTGGGGCGAGAAAACTATGGAAGGACAAGAACGATGCACCGGACTTCCAGGGAGGCAGGATTGGAACTCCTAGCTGAAATGAAAATAGTCAGCTTCCAGTGTACTTAATTAGGGATGTGTGGCCAGGGTGATGGGTCCTTGCAGCCCCTAGTCATGGATTTCTTTCTAGTCCACTTTGAAGGGTGGATTGAGATTGAGGCRGGGGCCAGGGGAGGGTCTGAAATGTTCTGGGAGTGGGCTGGTGGGTCTCAGTGCAGCGGGGAGCTAATCCTGGAGTTAAGGATTAGAGTTTTGAGGCCCCCCGCTGGGAGCTGCCTGGTGTTCATGCAGATGGGCAGGCAGTTATGACAATGAGCCCAGTCTGAGGCAGGAGTGAGTGTGTGCAGAGTGGGGAGTCTGAGTAGAGGCTTCATATGGCTTTGCTTGGAGAAGGTGGCACAGCCTGGCCAGTCCACTAAGCTTTTCACGACAAACAATACAGACCCAGGCGAGCACTATCTACGCACACTGCACAGAGCCACGGCACGTAGGGTGTATGGAGGGGCAGAGAGCAGACAGGTCAGGGAGACCTGGAAGCCGGCAGATGCCGATCCTCCTGCCCACAGCTTCAAGGAGCCTCCTCAGGTCTTGGGACTTCCTCTGGGGCCCCTGTGAGGGTCTGCCCCCTGGGCAGCGGCAGGTTGCTGTTCCAGTTCAGAGCCCCCTCCTGCCAGGCCCTGCGCCACTTGTTGGCCTTCTGCCCTCTGCAGGGTAGATGCCAGGTTTGGATGGGCAGAGAAGAGTTGGACATGTTCCCTGCAAAGGAAAGGTGTTCAGAGTGTAGGTGGGGCTGCTGTCACTGTCCCCTCAGAACCATCATTTCAACCCTGGGGTGGGGCTTTCCCTCTGGAATAGAAGCCCTTCCTGAGCCCCGCATCCGGGTTCCCCAGCCTCTAGGCCTCACCTGAAAACTATAGTAACACAGGCCTGGACTCCAGGGATCACATAATGAGACAGACCCCAGTCTGCCCTGCCCGGCAGTGGGAACTGCCACCGGCTTTAACTGGCACCATGACCTCTGATTTGAAGTTCCTGGAAAGGAGACAGCAGAGGCCTTGAATTATTTGAGGGAGGAAGAAGGAAGAGCTGGGGGTGGAGGTGGGGGATGTTCTCTGTGCCATGGCATCTGYCCAGCTCTCCTTTCATGAGCTTCACAAAGTTCAAGCTCCTGTAGAGAAGACAAGACAACCCGCGTTCCTACCCCTTTCYTCCCCAAACATGGAGGTCCTAGAAACTCAGGGAATCTAATGCACACCCCCACATACACATACAGTTTTCTGTGAGCTTTTATAATCTCTGTTGCTTCACCCCACGACATTTACAGTGTCTCTGTGGGGCAGGCTGAGCAGGTCAATACGCTTCAAACAACCCATTTTGCAGCTCAGCAAGCTAGAAAGGGAGACACTCACTAGTTGTCAATGGCCTCACAGTCAGTGAGTGGTAGGGACAGGCCTAGAAGCAGCCCCTTCCCCTCAACCAGGCTCTTCCCACTCTCAGAGCTGCCTTTGAGCAGAGAAGAGGCCTTGTTATTAATTTCTTTCAGTCCTTTTGCTGGGGTTCTTTCAGACCTGGTTGAGCACAGCTAGGGCTCTGTTGTTGGCTGAAAATACCTACTGTTTTTTGTTGGCCTTTTTGAGGAGTGTGGGCTCGGAGCAGTAGGAAGACTTTCCCTTGTTCCCAATGCTCAGGCAGCTGGAGCAGCAGCCACAGGGCCCAGTGGCTAGAGGCCCCTGGTGCATGGGCACMAGGCTGCTGCTGATGCGGAGGGAGCCATTGACCAGACAGTTGAGGGACCTGCCACCGGGGACCACAGACTGAGGTCCGTGCTGGCAGGGCATCTGGGTCAGTGTGGGGAGTGGGGCGCTCTGGTCCAGGGCTGGTGCTTCTGTGATGGTAATCTCAGGGGAGCCGGGTCTAGAGACTTCTGAGGCTTGCAAGGCGGGTGGCCGGTTCTCGACCTCGGGGCGRGTGCCGGGGCTGTGCAGGTTCATATGGAGCTTCCGCATGTGGTGCACCACGGCGGCTGCATTGAAGGCTTGCTAAGGAGACACAGCATCCTTAGAGACCCAAGGGGCTCAAGAGTGTCTCCTTTCCCTGTGGCCTCTTGAAGCTAATGTGCCCACTTATCATTTAGGGGGATCAGGGGCTCTCTATTGCCTGAAGGGATGCCCTGAGGTAGGCTCTTCCACTAGCCCCCACCTGGACCAGCCTCCAGCACCCCTCTGCTCCCCACTCCCCAGCAGAGGACAGCTCACCCTCCACTTGCTCTTGGCAAAGTTCTTCTGGATCTGGAGGCTGACAGATGGGTAGATGTCCCGGTGRAGAGCTGTGTTTCCATTGATCCTGTGGATGCAGGAGGGGTCCCTGGCTACTGGGTAGCTGTGGACACTCAGTCAAGGGGTGGGCAGGGGGCTGTGAAGGTAGGTCCAGGTTCAAGCTGAGTAGAATGCCCCAGGAGAAGGCTGATTCACAATAGGAAAGGGCTACAACCAGGGCTTTTCTGCTCCCATTGGGCAGGTCATAATGGGCTTATACTTTGGTAAAAACTAAATATTTTAGAGCAGGGTTGGCAAACTATGGCCTATAGGCTAAATCTACCCATTGTCTGTGTTGTCTAGTCTGGTCCCACTGGAATGCAGCCATGGTTATTCATTTAGGTGTTTTTGTGCCAGACCAGCAGGGCCCAGTAATCGAGTAGTTGTCACAAAGACAGTATGGCCAGCACAGGCTTTACAGGAGATATTTATGGACCCCTGCATCACTGGGCACTTGTGATATTACTATGCTTTAGTTCCAAACCTTGCTTGCAACTAGCTCCTCCTGAAGCCATCCTCAGTGAGGCCATCTGATACATGATGCCCTTTCCCCTCCCCTTAGTCTCTTACTCACTTGGAYTCCACAGACACTTGCCATGTGCACAGTACTAGGACAATTACTAAAGGACCCAGAGAAGTGAGAGAAATGAACCCCAATCCCCAAGAGCCCACAATCCAGGGSTGTGGTGGTGTTTCATGCCATGGACCAGGGAAGGTGACAGTAAGCTGCATAATTAATAAAGGGGAATGAGGAGGTCTGCATGGATTGCAGGAGTCACAGACTTCTGGGAAGGGATCCCGACTTTCAAACATGCAACACAGAGGGCAGGAGGTGGTATGATCTCAGAGGTGGTATGATCCAAAAAATAGTTAGGAAAGAGCTTGGACAAGAGGGTAGAGAAGGACAGGAAGAGAAGTATAACTTTAGGTCTATCTGGAACAGAAGGTGGTGTGTTAGAAATCTTGGGAAATGAACATGGAGATAAAGGGTCAGATTAGGGAAAATTTAGAAAGACCAAGAAATTTAAGCTCACTATGGCAGGAAATGGGAAGCTACTTCAAGTAGCTTGGGAAAAAATTTCTTCACATGGAACAGGTTTGATCTTAGAGTCAAATGATGCTCTTAAGAACATAAGATGGGGGGTGGGGGAGCTGGGGATGTGGCTCAAGAGGTAACGCGCTTGCCTGGCATGCGCGGGGTGCTGGGTTCGATTCTCAGCACCACATAAAATAAAAATAAGGATGTTGTGTCCACCGAAACCTGAAAAATAAATATTAAAAATTTCTCTCTCTCTCTCTCTTAAAAAAAAAGAACATGAGAGGGTTTTTTTTTTTTTTTTTTGAGCAACTAGTACTGAGCACTGCACCACCTGGGAGTCACCAGGACACCCAGGGCTGCTGAATGACAGCGCCTGCTGTGTCTGCCTCCAGAATTGACTGGATAACCCAGCTGCCACTCCTGGGTCAGAACCTGCTTGATTAAATGCTATTTGCACCTCCACCTGGACGTGCTCCTGGATGTCTCCACCGTCAGGGGCTCAGGGCAAGCCAGTTCCAAGAAACCACCATGTGGATGAGTCAGGTGTCTTTGGGAACCACAGGATGAGAATTGAGGGTTCACGCTGTTTCTCACTCACCAGGGGTGCCTCAAGGCCTTCTCGCAGGTATACCGCTCATTTGGGTCCTTCTCCAGCAAATGGCAAATAAAATCCTTGGCTAAGGGGAGCAATCAGACACACGACAGCTAAGGACCAGATTTCATGACTGATGTAAATTCACTTCCGGGCTGGTGGGTGGCAGTGAATGCATCTTTAGCTAATCTTCCAAAGAGGCAATTTTAAGAGTCTTAAAAGAGGAAAAAAAAAAAAAATCCAAACCACCTCATAACAACCCACTATAAACTCCCAAGAAGAGAGGCTCTGAGCTGCGTCACCCACACAGCACTGCAGAAACCTTGCTAGTCATGAGGCACCAGGGTGCTTGCACTCCATGTGTGCATGCATTTGCACAGATATATGGGCCAGCACTAGCACATGGGCACACACGTGAGTGCTGGCTCATTCCATTTCTGATCTCCATTTCACAGACACAACAAGCGTGTATGATCACCTTCTCATATGAATAGACATTGTGTGCCCTGTCCTGGTATCTAAGTGCTTGGTTTTGCCACATCTGGCCTGAAACTCTTCTCTCTGCCTGACTCTGCCCTTCCAGCCTCTCATCTAAAGTTCAYCCTTTTTCCCGCCCCTCTCATCAGACACACTGTTTCCACCTGTAAGAAAATAAGAGCATAAACCTTAAATAGTTTATCTGGCCTTTGAACTAGATGAAGATTTCTCGACTTTCCCTGGTAGCCTGTTTTATAAGATCTCCGGGGACTTGGAAGAACCAGGACTGTCATCCTTCCTTAAGATCTTTTCTCTTGGCAGCCTCTGCCTTGAGCCTGTTATCTTGTCCTTCACACCCTCTGGCCTTACCTGACTCAGAAATGTCATCCCAGAATGGAGACTSGAACTCATAGTAGCCTTCTTTGATCTTCTCAAAAAGCTTCGACTCTGTTTCTTCATAGAAAGGAGGGTACCCACACAGCCTGCAGTGGGACAGGAAGGAGGTACACTACTGAGGTACACCCCCTCCTCCCTGGGTCAGTCTCTCTCCTACCCTAGTTCGCACTGTACTCACGAGGGTGGGGGCATAAGGGTCCCAAACCAGCACTGTGACAGGATGTGGATCTACCTCTGATTCAGCAATGACACCGGTCCCATAAAGACTTTGTGCAGGAGCCCAGGCCTTTGTACATTATGTCCCCCAACCCTTTCTACCTCTCCCGGTACTTCCTCCRACTCTTGGATGCCCTGTACAAACTATCTTTGTGAAGGCATGTGGAATGTCCTCCTGAATGTGATTTTCATGAGGGATTTTTTTAGGCTGCTTTGTTCGTTGTTCTACTCTTTAGCACTTAGCCCAGAGATTGACTTAGAGTAGAGAGTGAGTCTTTGTTGTATAAACGAAAGCACCAGAATAATTATTCAACATAAACTGAGGAAATAGAGAACTGAATCCACACTAAGGGGTAAATGTCTAATAGCGGATTATTTTAAGATTATTTTATTATTTTTATTTTATTATTTTATTCTTAAGAGCAAAGCCTGCTACAGGCAAGGATAGATGTGGGGAAGAGGGGGTGAACAGGTCAGGAAAGGGAGAGCCCTAGAATGTAAGGACAAGAGCAAAAAGCAGAGGCCCTGACCAGCTTTACTCAGTCTATRGTTTTGCCCTGGGAGACTAGGTAAGGGAGAAAACTGAGATGCAGGGATGCTGGGTCCACCTGGGCTCCCAGTCTGGCTTGACCTCTTGCTGGTTCCAGAATGGGACTTGGCATATTTATATGCAACAAATGGAGGTGGGTGCAGGAGGAGGGAGCACCAGGTGGTTGAGCAGTGGGTGCGTGCTGAGCTCTGCTTCATAATGTGCTGGAGATTAGGACCAAGCAACCTTTGGAGTTGTGTGCATGAGTAAGCATGCATATGTGTGCATTCTCACACGCACTTGCTTTGGAGGAGGAACTGAGATGGGGAGGGGAAGAGAGGGGTGGGCAGGCTTCAAGATTTCCCAAAGTCTGAGCCAATGCCAGCTTCTACTCACAATATGTAGGTGATGACGCCAATGGACCAGCAATCCACAGCCTTGCTGTAGGGTTTCTGGGCCAGCACTTCCGGAGCTGCAGCAAACCAATGTCAGAGTCAGGGCTGGGGGGCGAGAGAAGAGGGCTGTGGAGTGGGGGCTGGAGGTCAGGAAGAAGCTTAGAGAAGGGAACAAGGATAGCTCAGGGGATGGTATTGTTTCTGTGAGACTGAAAATTCCCCAAGAGCAGAGGAAGACTAAGTCCTAGGAAGACTAAATCCTCCTATGAAGAGAGACTGTGCCTCTTCCATTGGACTGGGAATTCCCATGTGACAGGCTCTATGACTCCTCCATCAGACTAGGGATCTCTGGAGCTAGTCCTCCCTTATCATATATGGAGTACTCTCTGAAAGTAGGACCATTGTCTTCCCAGCCAGATAGGGGATCCCCAAGGCAAGGGTAGCATCTTTCCCTTCACACTGGGAGAGCCCCAGGTAGGTGCTGGGAGAGAGCTTCCACTTTCCCCTGGAAATCAGAGGCGGAGTCTCCTCATTAGTTAGGAGGTTCCTAGAGAGCAGACAGTAACTTTCCCATCTGAGTACCTTCTGAGAGCAGGGGCTTTGCCCRCCATGAAGACATGGACGAGGTCTATCCTTTGACTGGGAGCCTGGGGCAGTAGAGAGCTGCCTTCTGTGTTTATCCTAGATACCTCGGCTTTGTAYCCACTGGAACTCAATATCTTTTGGAGTAATTGACCTCCCTTTKTGGGAGAGAGTAGGTTCCCACTCTGCTTCCCATTTTCTAATTGCAAACAGATGATGATTGCCTAAGAGGAAATGGGCAGGRGTGATATTCTGTCTCAGCTTCCTCCCGCAGAGATCCCAGAAATGCTTTCACCAGGCACCCTGCCTGCTCTTATCTTTTCAGGATCCCTGGAAGCCCAAAGGTCTGCTTGGATGGCATGCCCCACCTATGCCAGTTCCCCAGAGGGCTTCCTTGGGTGTAAATTGAAGGGGCCCCTAGGTAGGTTCTCTAGGCCCAAACTCAACATCCCATGCTTCTAGGCTCCCCTCACAGTTGGAGGGTGAGGTTTCCTCTAGAGTGTGAGAGGGATCGGGGCTAGTGCTCAACCCCTGAGCTCTCTACTGATCTTTGGGTTTGTGATCTTGTTCCTGGTTTTAGTCCTACTGGAAAGACAAAGACAGAGATCTGTCTGCAGGGGTGATAGTCAAAGGATAGCTTGAGGGCTGGAGAGGGCTTAGGGGTAGGCTGTCTTTAAAAATGTCAGATTTGAAAGAAGTAGGGGTAGTTCTGGAGACAGATGGATTGGCTGGTCCTGAATCTCATAAATGAATGCTCTACCCGGGTAACTCCAAAGGGGAACCCTGACTCCTCACAATCACCCCTCTCTGTGACTTACATCCCTGTGGTTGAATATAGTCAACTGGTCAACCTCCTTCCTGCCTCCAGACTCACCCACGTAGCCTGGGGTCCCACAGGCGGTGGACATGACACCACTCTGTTCCATCTTGGACAGACCAAAGTCTGTGATCATGATCTTCGAATTCTCTTCAGGGGTGAGGTACAGCAGGTTTTCAGGCTGCAGGAGAAGGAAATGTGTGGTATAGGACACAGTCCCTTGAAACACATCTCTCTTTCTCTTTAATATAATTTCTTAGGAAGCTCGGCCCTGGGCTCCTGTCTCTGAGGCCAAGCTCATCTTCTCCCATTCCCCCTTCCTTCCTTTAACCTGTGCCCTCACTTCTGTACCCCAGAACTCTGTGTTTTCCTTATGGTCCTGACTTTGCTTAGCCTTGTAACCCTTCTCCCTTCCCTCCCAACTACCTCACGACCATCTGATTTTTGAGGAAACCAATCTTTGGTTAATTCCTCTGACCTCACCAAAGTCTACCATGATGCCTGGTGCCATGTAGACCCTCAAAAAGTACTTGTTGCTCTTGATTTCACTGTGATTATTTTGATACCTTAAATAGAGGAAGGCACAGTCCAAAGTTCAGGAAAAACCTGAGGTGCAAACTAACAACCATTGTTTAGCCACCCAAGACTTGTTTAAGGAATCTGAGGACAGAAGAGGCCTGGGGAGTCCAATTGGTCCAATCCTCTTTTTTTGATAGCACCTCGACTTCTCACAATTCAGGTGTCTTCTGAAAGGGTCCTTCCCTGTTTCCCACTGGGTGCTTAGGCCTTGGCACCTTTAAGTCTCTGTGGACGATGCCATTCTCATGGAGGTATTTCACTGCTGACAAGACCTGCTGGATCACCAGACTGGCATCCTTCTCTGTGTAGACGCCCCGCTCCAGGATCCGGTCAAAAAGCTCCCCTCCAGAAACACTGTGGGCAAAGGGCAAGAWCAGGAATCCAGTTCTTCACGCAGGTCAGTGGGATGCCAGTGTGTTTGCTGTRTGGCCAAGGGAGATACAGCTGAGACACAACAGGAAGGTGCCCAGGAACTGTGATTAGAAGGGGAGGGGAGGCCCAATCCAGTCTCTGAACAACTCCTCAGGTGCCTGGTGTGATGTAACTAGGGAATCATTTCTCTGAGCCAAGTTTCTCTCTGGGAGCTTCCTTTATAATGCAAATGTCCCTGTTTGGGGTTGCAAAAGAAGCCAATAATCCCTTACTGTGCACACATTCCTTATCTGTCTTCCTTTCTGGCCTGGGACACAGGAAGCCATTATGAATGAGAGAAGTGACATAGAAATTGGGCAAAATAGGAAAGAAAAGGTTTGAAAAATGAGACATCTCTGCTTATATCAGGATTTCGTTYCTCGTTTTGGGAAAATGGACTACCTAAAGCTGGAATCATAGGTGGGGCCATAGAAGTGGCATCGTGTCTCGGGATACAGGGGGCATATCAGCAAGTCCAACCTCCCATCTCTTGAATACCATCGACACCATTTTTGTCTGAAAGTTTTTTAGTCTGCACTGTAACACGTAAGTGTCAGAGAACTCACTACCTCTGATGACAAAGTGTTTGGTTTCTTAATATTTCCATGTATTATGTTGAAACCTGATGACCTTTAATTCTTTCCAGAAGACACAGATTCCACCCATTGGGACCACACAGAACAAGCAAAACATCTTTTTTACAAGAATCGTTTCAAGTATGTGGAGCTGGTGAAATGCTCTCCTGAGACCTCCTCTTCTCTGGGATGAACATCCCTGAACTGTTTTGAACATAATCTGGGGTTCTGATGCTCTCACCATCCTGGCCCCCATTTCCACTGTTCCATGACATTAGTTGTGGCTCTGCACAGCTGACAGCACCACATAGCAATGGAGGAATAGAATGTACCCAGTCAAACCCATACCATTGTGCTCTCCTTGTTTCTGTCTCTGGGCTCTGGGCTCTGTGATAGGAACTAGAGGCTCCCAAGAAAGATGTTCCTTGAATACAGCTACGAACACCTGACTATGAATGGCCTGGGTCCTGGAGGTGCCCTTAGGAGGCTTGGTGGCTCCCAAGTGACACCTAAACCTGCCCGCCTCCTTGTCTCCCTTTAGCCTGTAGAATACCTTTATGCTCATCTTGTTGAATTGGCCTCCTGAAGGTGCCACTGGGTCCCTGCTCACTGGTTATTGTCACTTTGGGCCCTTCCCACCTCCATCCCTTGACTGCCTTCTTCTTCTCTTTCCTGGGCTTCAGTGAGCCAATAGTTAATCAAATTAATGCATTGAAGTTTCTGAAGAGTTGGCTCATCAGTCAAAACCCATGGTGCCCAGCCATACTGAGTTTGCAGAGTGGCGTGTGTCTATGGGAGTTCTGTGTGTGCCTTTTAAACACCATAGAGGTGTCTTTGAACCCAAGGCTGTGCCGTGGGGAGCACTGACCAACCCACACGCAGTCACCATCAGGCAGAACTCTATGTGGATATGACAGCAACAGAGACCTTTCTAATGACATTCTATTTCTGTCCTACAGATGGATACACACAATACAGTTTTTAACTCTSAGTGGATCTCTTTTGAGAAAGTCTTTCTTTATATTGAATTGAAATCTGTCTACCCTGTGCCTTCTACTTCCATAACTTTACCCTGAAATGATGTTAATACATTTGCTATCCAGTTGATTGACAAAGACTTGTCAAAATGGACTCYAGTCATGGCGTCAGAGAAGGGTTCTGGTGGCCCATGCTGTATGTACCTGGCGTTACCCCTTCCGTTGCTGCATTGTGGGGAAGTCCCAGAACGTCTCCGGGACRGATAGGGAGGCAGAAGAGCACAGACAGCTCTTTTCCCACTTGTAGGAAATATTGTGATGACAGGAAGCCTGTTCTGGTACATACCAACTCAATAATCAGCCCCAGATTTACTCCTCAGCTCACACAGCACGCCTGTGACCAGGGGTATACAACTCCAAAAGATGTCTTAGCAATTCAGAACCTCTCGGACTAATTCTGCTTTTGTTTTTTAGTTGCCATGTTCTCACCACTGACCAATCTCCTCTGAGCCTCCCAGGCTCCAACAGGCCTCTGTGGAGGAGGGGGGTCACCTTTCACTTACAGCTGCATGACCAGGTAGTAGTGAGTGCTGCTCTCGTAGATGTCCTCCAGGGTCACGATGTTCTCATGCTTGATCCTGGGAAAAAGTAAGCGTCATAGTCAGAGGTATGTGGTTCAGGTGGTCTGGACAAAGAATGCAGCCCCAGCTCCAGAGAGTCTGCTAGACASTCTTTATGGCAGTATTTAGAAAGACTGGTTCCTGGGGGAGCTTTTGAAAGAAGTCGGCTGTCATAAAGTATCCCCAGAGAAAAGATTCCCAGGGTGGTGTTTGATCCACATTGATTGAATGAATAATTGATTGTTATGCTTTCAAGGAACAAATGTTTCAGTGTTACTTGAGGATTTTTATTAAACTTTAACGAAAGACAAAGTTTAAAGAGCCTAGAAAAGGTTCAGGATGTAGCTCAATGGTAG